GATAAAAAAAATATACAAACATTGAATCAGAATCAGTAGGCAGAAAATAGTGAGAAAATAAACAGATAAGACAATAAATGTGATTTTTTACTAATAGCTTATAACCACTAAAAAATGTTACGTTAAAAAACAATATGTTAAAAACAACATTTTGTTGACAAAATGACCAAAAAAATGTTAGTGAAGACTGTATAGTGCAAACCATCACAAACTAACTTAGCAATGTCATATCAAGAAAATTAGATAAAAACAAAAAACCTAACAAGATCGTGGTATGTCTAAACTTATCTAGTGAAATTGTTCAATACATTCCAACCAAGAATACATTTGTTCAGTATATTCCAAGCAAGAATACATTTTTTCAGTACATTCCAACCAAGAATACATTTGTTCAGTACATTCCAACCAAGAATACATTTGTTCAGCACATTCCAACCAAGAATACATTTGTTCAGTATATTCCAACCAAGAATACATTTGTTCAGTACATTCCAACCAAGAATACATTTGTTCAGTACATTCCAACCAAGAATACATTTGTTCAGTACATTCCAACCAAGAATACATTTGTTCAGTACATTCCAACCAAAAATTTGTTATAAAAATATGCTAATACCTACTATTGTATAAAATTTTTGTGCTGTTATGCTTCTAACAAATATACGGTCTCATTTCACAATTTTTGCGTTGTTATGCTTCTCACAAATATACGGTCTCATTCACACATTAAACACAAATCTGAATAAATATACAAGGATAAGGTCAAAAAAAGATTATGAACAAATGTATATAATAAAGAACAAATATTTGATTTACTGATTTTAAAGACTATTGATGTCTACAGATGTGATAATGTAGTGCCTTAGTATGTTCCCTTTGGTCATCTAGTATGGTCTTGTTATGTTTTTGTTCACTTTCAAATTGGATGAATAGAAAGCTAAACACACTCACTTCTTATGGGCTTATGGGCTTGCACATCAGTGCCAGACATAAGACCTTCAGAATGGATTTCAATTGATCGAATGCATACATCAGCCACGATAATGAGAGGCAACCTTAGCATTTGCTAAGGTTGCCTCTTATTATTGTGCTTGACAAGTTTTTGCTCTTGATTTAATTCTCTACCTCTATAAATCTCTTGTTTGTCCTTGTATAGAATACTTTTGTCATATTTGGGCTAGTTTTTCTAATGATGACATTTGCAATAATAATGACTACATTTACACTACATTTTAAAACTTGTCTTGAATAGAAAGGATTCTATTATAGACAAGTTTTAAAAAAATGCATTGTAAATGTTGGACCTGCTGTCACTGCCAAGCCAAAAACTACTGTTATACTTTTTAATTACATTTCAATAAAAAAATTTTTTACAAGTATTTGTCTTTTACTATTTTTAATTATTAAGTGAGTATTCTTAATTATTTAGTGAGTGTCACATTTGTAGTATTTATTTGCATATATAAATTTAAAATAAACTTTAGAATTTAAAAGTTTATTTATAATTGTTTTTAAATAAAAGGTATTTACATTTTAACTTTTAATAATTCATTTATATATATATATATATATATATATATATATATATATATATATATATATATATACACACACAGCAACGTATCCAAGTCGATTTTGATACCGGTATACCCGTATGGGCCCCTAAATTTCTGCCCAATTAAAACAATTTTGTCCCCCCTCCCCAAAGCTGTAATATAACCATTTGAGTCGGCACATTGAGCAAGTTTTGAAATTTTTATATTAAAAACTTACCTTAGTAATAAAAAGCATATACCTCATCATATATAATGACCTACAGCTTTGACCTATGGTTGGCAAATTGCAATTGCTGAGGACCTTTTTTATTTTTAATTTTTTTTTTTTTTTTGTATGTTAGACCTCAGGTATCAAGTTTGTGATAAAAAATTTAAATTAAAAAACTCTTTATTACTTATTGTGTATTTTTGTAATTACTTGTAATATTTATTGTTTATATTTGTAATATTAAATTTGTTGCCATAATCACTAAATTGATTTTATGTCGTTTAGAAAAAGCAAAATTTTTTTAAAAAGTATTTTAAGTCAATTAAAATGCTTATTTCGAATTCACATGGATAAAATATGGAATACGTTACTATTGGATTAAAATGTAAAATCCACATTATGATTGGATTAAAATAAGAAATGCTTAGCATTTTATATTTTTATAATTCCTTTCATAAAAACATTAACTTGAAAAAAATATTCTAAAAATAAGTTTCACGCTTACATTTTCATAATTTTCAATTCGATTAATCTCTATAAGCTTTAAACTTTCACATTTTTTTTCTTTAAAATTTCTCAAAATTGCGCAAAAATGTAAATAAACTGTTTTAAATTATAAAAGAAATAAAACTTTTTTAAAACGTGATAAAATAATCATGCCAAAAAAGTTAGTTTAATTAGAGAAGAATCAAAAGATTTTAACTTTTAAATGAATTAGCGACCTTGCTTTGCTTGTGATATGAATAAATTAATGACCTTGCTATGCTATAACTCTGCGTTTTATGTTTTTATAAACTTTAATTACTAAAATTTGTTTGCAAAAGCTTTTATAGTACGTTTAACTTACGTAATATGGGTTGACCAAAGATATCTTGTAGAAGCCACAACAAAAATTTATCCACATCCAGATCTTTACACAGTAGAAATAACAATCCAAAATCTGGACAAAATTCAATATTTGAAGCATTTGTACCAAACTACAAAACAAGAACTAGTTCAAGAAGAGGTTAATTTCTGCAGTTAATTCCTGAAAAAAGAACAAACAAAAAAGAAATTATTATCGGGCATGAATCAAACGAAAGCTTTATCCCTAATATCAAGGAACATTTGCTAGATGGACGTATGTATATGTGTCACCAATCTCAACAAAAATGAATCCATTTGCTATTTACTCTGCAAAAGATCAAGGTTGGTTATGTAGTATTTGTAAAGAATATGAGGATATTGGAGAAATGTGGAGAACTAAAGCCGCTAAGCTTTTTGAACATCTACAAAGGACATTTACTGCACATCAAAATTCAAAGAGACACCAGGATGCTGCCAAACGTCAGCAGGTCAAAAAAATACTTTCAACTAAAGAAACTGTATACAATCAGATAGTTGATGGCAGCTTGCTATACAGAATTGCGGGTAAGCAGCGCAACCGTAATGTCATAAAAAAGTTTTTTAAAACTATTGACTTTGTAGTTAAAAAGAACTGGGCAGTCCAGAAATTCACAAATATCAGTCCATGTTTTCATTAGATATGTTGATTATGATTCTCATACTATTGAAGAAATATTTCTCGGTTTAGTCCAAGTTATTGGAAGAAAGGATGCGCAAACTTTATGTGAACAAATACGACTAGTTTTAAAATCTAAATCAGTAGATATCCAGCAACTACGTTTCCATTGCTTTGTTGGAACTAACACAATGAGCAGGGTGCGTAATGGTTTACAAGCTAAGCTAAAAAAAGTTTCTCCCCACATGTACATTAACTGTTGTTGTCATTATTTAGCTCTTGTACACTTAATGAAAGAATTTGATGTCCTCGTTAGCATTGATGCTAATATTATGGGAGTTTTGAAAGCCATGAAATATTTTAGTGTAAAGACCTCAATATTTGATGCAGCGCGAAAAGCTGATGGTTTAAAACCAGCAAAGTTATTTAAAGCTGCTCCAATGCGTTGGTTATCTCATGGCGCTTCTTCAGTATGGCTTGTTTCAAGATTTGAACATGTTATAAACAGTCTTGATGCAATTGTTAATGAGAAGTACGATGCGGAGCTGGATGGTCTAACATATCAATTACTTGTTCCTGATAATATACTATTTTTGCTTTTACTGGCTGATGTTTTAGTACCAATTAATAAATTTGCAAAGTTTTTACAAACGCGAAACCTAGTCTACTCAAAGATAAACTTAAAATTAGACCTTTTAAAAAATGAGCTTAACGATATAGCCAACGTTAAAATTCCATTAACACTCATTAGTAAAATTTCAATTTTCAAATTTTATTGCACCATTATTGTTTAATGCTATTCAAGATAATGAGGACGATACCATCATTTTCTTTGATTGTAGAGAAGTCATTTTAATCTTGAAATGAAAAGGAACCTAAAAATTTAAGCTTTAGTAAAGGAAGGCAAATTAAAGAGTAGTAACTTGGAAATATATAAACACGAACACCCGATAACAAGCATTGCTATTTATACTGTTTTCCATACCAAGAATGTGAGCAGTATTATGATATAATGAAGTTATTCAAATTGTCACCACTCATACCACCTACCACAGCAAACTTTGAAAGAGGGTTTTCTATGCTAATCTTAATAATTCAAAACAAAGAAATTGTCTCAGTATAATAGCACTTGATCGCCTCATGCGAATTTCTTTAGTTGGACCAGAAAATTTAACAAACCAAACATGTGAAGAGCCGTCCAACATTTATTGGTCGGCTCTTCACATGTTTGGTTTGTTAAACTTTCTATATTTATAAAATGTGTATTCTTTCTAATATCCTTTAAATAAAGCTTGTTAGTTTAGTTACAAAAAATATGTTAATATATAAGTTTGTTGTTTGTTAAATATTGTAGCTATGAAGCTTTTCTTGCTGGAGAAGCAGTAGCGATATAAATTTGATCTCATTCTTTGCATTAGTAATGCAAAAAGGCATTAAAATTGATGCAAATCGATGTTGACGTTAAAGCTGTAAATATAACATAAGTGATTATTTTGGTTAATTATTCCTAGTTCTACTATTTAGAAAAACTAAAGTTAGAGGTCCTCAAAATGCAGGCATGCGTTATGCCTGCATTTTGCATGCCCTTATATATAAATGATATATATATATATATATATATATATATATATATATATATATATATATATATATATATATATATATATATATATATATATATATATATATATATATATATATATATATATATAATCATTATGTTTTTTTTTTGCAGTTAGGTGATTTAGGCATTGCTCGTGTTTTGGAAAATAATTTTGACATGGCAACTACTATGATTGGGACTCCTTACTATATGTCCCCTGAACTTTTCTCCAATAAACCATATAACACTAAATCAGATATTTGGGCTCTTGGATGTTGTGTTTATGAGATGATAACACTTAAGCATGCATTCAATGCAAGTGACATGAACTCTTTGGTGTACAAAATACTTAAAGGCAAGGTGTGGCGTATTTATATTTTTGTTGTTGTGCTCAATCTTTAATTTATTTTAACTTATAGATTTTATCTTTAAATTATAAATAATAAAAAATTGTAGTGTTGTTGTTTGATGTTTTTATTTTTATTTTTCAATTTTTGTTTAAAATAATAGTTACCATCAATGCCTCAGCATTATTCACAAGATTTACAAGAAATTATAAAAACAATGCTCATGCATAATCCTACATCTAGACCAAGTGCTGCACGTTTGTTACGTCATCCGTATATAAAATCACACATAGTGTTATTTCTAGAAGGAGCTAAAAATAGGTAACACCTATTTTGACATTTTAATTATATTTTTGTGCAGTTTCTTAATTCTTTAACTATTGTGTGTTAGTAACCCAACAAGGTGAGCGGACAGTTATTACGTAAAAAAAAGTGTTTACTAATAAAAAAGTGTTTACTAATAAAGCCATATTTTGGATTTTATTCCTTGTAAATATTTTGAAGAACCTTTAAAAAGCATTTAAAATAAATATATACATTACATTGCATTATAAAATAAACTAAACATAAAAAAAAGAGCTCAAAAAAAAGTAACCCACTTTATTATATTAATTAATTAACATGTTTCGTAGTGTGACTAGTTAAATTAATATAATTTCATTTTGAATCATGTGATTAAGAATGTGAATCATTAATGTTTAATTTATTGTTTATTATAGTTGAGATTAATTTTTATTTAAACTTTGTAAAACAAAGTAAATGTTCGTAAAAAAAAATTTTAATTGAATTAAAATTTTTTCAACTAGTTTAAACTGATTTAAGATGAAGTTAGAATAAAATACTTTTTAACTTTTTTTATTGAATAATGCATTTTTAATTAATAAGTTTCTTATTAGTCATATTTTAGTAGTCATGTATTTTATTTATTTTCCCTCGCTGTTGAAAAAAACTAATTAAAATAAAATTAAATTCTGGACTTCTGATAATTGTAGCAGACAACTCAAGAAAAGCATAAACAGTATTTCTATATATATATATATATATATATATATATATATATATATATATATATATATATATATATATATATATATATATATATATATATATATATATATATATATATATATATATATATATATATATATATATGTGTGTGTGGGGGGGGGGGGTGTTGTCGACAGTCTTAATTTAAAGCCTTTAACATTACTTGCAGGTCCTTGTGCTAAAAGGGAACGTGGTATGGCATTGATATGAAACCAATTTATTTCATTAAACCCCTTGAATGCTTTAAAATATAGTATCATGTCCCCTCATTGCCTTCTTTTTTCTAGAGTTTGTAGATTGAGATAAGTTAGACAGGCTTTGTAATCTAAATTTCTTATTGCTGGAACAAGTTTAACTGCTTTTTTCTAGACAACATCCTGAGCCTTTATGTCTTTTTTTTGAAAAGGATTCCAAACAGATGCACAGTATTCCAAATGAGGTCGAACAAAGGTTGTAAACAATCTAACAAAAATAGGCCCTGTCCAAGATTTGAATGTTCGCTTAAGCATACCTAGGATTATATTTGCTTTATTTATTGCATGTCTGATGTGGTAATTCCATTTTAATTTATTGTTAAAAATTACACCAAGATTTTACTCAATTTTTTGTTGTTTCAAGGTTAAAAACAGCTCCAATATCGTCTTTTATAGTGAAGTAACAGTTATCTAGATTTTTGCTTGGTTTTTCACCGAATTTTTTTAATTTGACATTTCTCAATATTGAAGGACATCTCCTATAGCTTGGACCAGTCTATGAGGGTGTCAAGGTCATTTTGAACTGATATGATATCCATATTGTTTTTGATCGTAACAACGAACTGGCTGTCATCTGCAAAAAGCTTACAAAAGTTCTTGACTATTTCTTATTAGTCATATTTTAGTAGTCATGTTATTTTAGTAGGCATGTCATTTATATATATCAAAAACAGTAGTGGACCAATAACTGATCCTTGTGGTACCCCACTTGTTACCTTTACCCAGTCAGAATACACACCACCCAAGACTACTCGCTGTCATCTACTTTTTAAAAAATCAGAAATTCAAGAAATTAATTTTACATCAAAGCCATAGCCATTAAGTTTTAAATTCAGTAGTTCGTGGCTTACTCTGTCAAAAGCTTTAGAAGCTAGTAAGATTAGAACAGCCATAAAATTATGGTTTAGTGCCTCTGTAATTATATCTAACACCTCTTAGTGGTTTGTGGCACAAGATTTACCACTAACAAATCCATGTTGGTGAATAGATAGTAGTTTGAGTTTAGTAAGGTGCTCCGTCATGTATTCTCTCACTAATCTTTCCATGATCTTACTTGCAATTGAAGTCAACGAGATTGGACAATAATTTATTGGTTTAAGTTTACATCCTTTTTTAAAGAAGGGTGAGATATTTGCATCTTTCCATAGTGAAGGAGCAATACCTGTTTTAAAAGATTTGATAAATATATAAGATAATGGAAAACTCAGGCTCTTATAGCATATTGAAAGAACAAAAGGATGTAATTGGTCTACTATAGGCGGTTTCGATTTGTTTAAGCTGTACAGTAGAGTGGCTACTCGAGTATTACTAAATAGAGTTTTACTGTCAACACAAGATATAGTTTTAGTTTTTGGTTTGAAATCTGGCATTAATGTTCTAGTTTTAGTGGCATTTTTATTTTTTTGGGCATTAATGTTCTGTTATGATTCTGAGTAAAAGCTTTTGTTGGTTTAAACAATGAGTGATATATTTTTTCTCTGTGATTTGTTTCCTGTCAGCATCAAATACTGCCTTGATAACAGTTTTTTTTTTTTTTTTTAATTTGTTTGTTGATGTAGGAGTATAAAATTTTAGGATTTAGTTTTGCATGCAAAATACTTTTTTTGCGTATATATATTTTGCATATATATATATATATATATATATATATATATATATATATATATATATATATATATATATATATATATATATATATATATATATATATATATATATATATATATATATATATATATATGCAAAATACTCTTTTTTTCATGCAAAATACTCTTTTTGCATATATATATTTTTTGCATTAAAATACTTTCTTCATATTGTAAAACTGCTTTATTTATTAATTTCTTAACTAATTTGCATTGTTTGTTAAATATAGTTCTAAGCTTACCTTTATTTAATTTAAATGCTGCAATCATCTTTTTGAAAATACATAATTTATACCTTAAAGCTTTTTTGATATCTTTATTCATCCATCTGGGTACTGATTTGGTAAGTCGAGGGTGGAGAGGGATTTCATGGGAACAAACTTCTCAACTAGTTTATTATTAAAGTCAATGAAAATATTATAACATTGGTTAGCGTCTTTATCATAGAAGTTCATATGCCAATTAATATCATTAAGTGTGTCATTTATAGCTTCATAATTATCACATCTGTAATCTTGTAAATTTATTTGATTGTTTTGTGAACAGGAAGGATCCTTAGCTCAATATTCCCACAACAATGTCTTATGGAACTGATTTCGCTCTGTGGATTCAATATGGGGGACGATATTTCTACTGCATATATACGATCAGGATCATCAATTAAAATTATATCAAGAAATTTATGCTTGATGTTTATAAACTGCTTGTAATAAAAAAAAGTTGTTTATAGTTTCTAAAAATTCTTGGCTTGAAACTCGTCCTTTACCACGACACATACCTCCTGTATCATCCCAAAAGATATCAGGGTAGTTTAGATTACCCATTATTAATAAGTTAAATTTTTTTCCATCAACTAATTTATGCGCTTCTCTAAATGATTTATTAAATATTTTGTTTAGATCATATGAAGCATGAGGGTGTCTGTATAAACAACCAACTATAATAGTATTTGAACCAATGCTGATCTTGTACCAAATTTGCTCACTATCTAAGTAGAAAGGATCAATCTCATGAGATAAAGGATCATTTCGCACATAAATTACTACTCCTCCACCATTGATAGTTCTTCTATTATTAAAATAGGATGCATAATTTTCTATATTGAGTTCAGAGGTACTGTTGAATTAAGTCTCAGTAATGCCTATAATGTGTGGAAAACTAAGTTGTTCAATTCTTACATCTTACATCCCATTTATTGCATATAGATGTTGCATTAAAATAAAAACACTTTAAAGAAGACATAAAACTTTTCTTTTCCTTAATTTTTTTTAAAACAAATTTTATGCATGTCCTTAGAGTTACTGACTTTCTTTTTGTTTTAGCTCAATCCATCTAAGTGGGCCAAAGCGTATCCCCCAATAGCCTTTCATTCTATACTTTGTTCCCTATTTAAGCCTCCCATTTGATTCTTATACTTCATTTTTAGTTTTTTTCAATTTTAAGTTTGGTTTCAATTAATCTTTAATTTTCAGTTCTGTCTGGCATTATGTATATATTTTGTAAAGCTTCAAAATGTTTCAATTCTTTAGCCTTAAGGATGGCTGTTCGTTGTGTGGCATGATCCTTAAATTCTAAGAGTATTAGCAGGGGAGGAGGACTTTTATCAGCTTGGCTTAGGGATTAATTCAATCGATTTCCTGGTGTTGTTATGTCTTTATAGATTTCTGGGTTTATACCATTACTGTTCATCATAGTCTTTCTTTTTTTTTAACCTTGTTTCTTAACATCTTCTCTTCTTAACTTTAGTGCATTTAAAATTTGGTCAACTATTTGGGTGTCTGAATCACTTTCCACTGCGTCTTCTAGTACTCCTGTGATTAAAACATTGTTTTTAACTCTGTTTTTCTCTTCTTTTTTGTCTGGATAGTAGCAATTAGTACTGCATCATTTTCTTTAGAGACTTTTCCAGGATTTAAGAAACTTGACCAGGTATCTGCAGAGCTGAGAGTTTAGTTGATTACTTGGAAGTTTTTTTTTCAGATCATTTATTTCATCGTCTTTCAATATTTGGTTCTTTACCAGGACAATTATAACACTGCAAGCAAACATTCTGTTTTCACTGTTTCTTCAAGTGTAGTAATTGTAATAGTAATAGTAATAGTAAGCAAGTGTAGTATTTTGCAAGCTAACAAGTGATTTTGCAGTTATCAGAAACCATTTGTATAGATTTTTTGTTCTATCAGTTCATCTTCCATCAAATAATGGCCAGGTAGATTCTACTAAAGGATCCATATTATTGAATTTGATCTTTTAAGTAGGAGGGCTACCACCCTAATGCAGTGGATTATCTCCAGGTCGTTTACTTTTAAAATTATTATTAGTTCGCTTATTACACAGGGACTAAAAAGTTTCAGTATGTTTTTTTCCGATATATTATATATATATATATATACATATATATATATATATATATATATATATATATATATATATATATATATATATATATATATATATATATATATATATATATATATATATATATATATACACATATATTTGTGTGATATGTATACTACAACATGTGTATATGTATACTTTTTCTTTTAAGGAGAAGAAGTTGTGAGACCAAATCCAAAAATGATGAAGGTGCAAGTGATTCAGGTTTTAGTGAAGGCGACCTAAAAAATGTTGTAACTTCATCTAATATTGAAATTCAAATAGTTAATGATAAAATACTTATTGATAAATTAGATAACTCAAATGACAAAGTTCAAGAAGTTTCTTTTGATAATAGATTATCGTTTAAAAAAAATATTAATTTTCAAGTTCCTAAAGTCATAGAATTGTCATGTGAAGATAAATCTAAAAAACTTAAACAAGTGAAAGTTGACTCAAATAGAAATTTTGAGTCAACTAAAAATTATATAAAACCTGAAGAATCAGCAAATTCAAACCAAAAATCTGATAAGGATTCCTTGAATAGCAAGCCTTTCAAGTTACAGCAAAATAATGAAAGAAAACTTTGCGTGAATAATAGTTCTGAAGTTCGTAAAGTAATAACTGATAGACTTAAGTTAAAATTGCATCAGAGAGATGAAATACAAAAAAATATTAAAAAATCTAATCAAAATGAAAAGAAAAATGACATCATACAACCTCAGCATAAAGGTCCACAAAGTGAAGAATATCAGCATAAAGGTCTGCATGAAGAAAAAGAAAAAGTAAGTAAATTTGTTTATAATTTTGACACACTAAAGGTCAGGGATAAATTAGAAAATTTCAAAATTTTATTTCTAAAAAAAAGTAGTTTTCACTTATCAAAAGACACTGATAAATAGATTTTCATTAAATGCATACAAGCTTGTGTAGCTATTCAAAAAATGTTTTATGGGTAATTAATTATATGGTTTTATAGGTAATTAACTTTCCTCAGTTTTGAATTCGAATTATACTTTTAAAAAAGTATATAAGTATAAAATATGGTTTTCATTTTATTTTTTTATCAATTCCTTCTTTTTTAAAATTTGTTTAGCGTTCAAGTCGACCTTTGCCACCAAGACCTTGTGTTAATCAGCCTCTTGAGGAATATCCTGTTGCCATATCATGTTCAAGGTTTTGTTAATAATAATAATTTTTTGTTGAATACTGATTAAAAATATGGTAAATACACATATGAGTATTTAGCAGACAGACAAAATTATATACAAAACTTTGTTTTAAAAAATGACTGACACCAGCGGACCATTTTTAAGTGAAGTGTTGGAATAATGGTATCTAAAAGACTTAATTTAGATAAGAAATCTAAAAGACTCAAGATGGGTAGGAAATCTAATTAGCAATTAGATTTTTAAGTGTTTGAGATCCAATACTTTTTATGTTCATTTTTTTGTCAAATATGAATAATTTACAAATAATTATTTGTTTCTGCTCATTAATGTGTTGGAGTTGGAGGCCATATATTTTCTCATATATACAAGTAAAAAATAATGCTAAGAATATATCAAACTTTTTAACAGATTTCAAACTTTATAAAAAAATGTGTAAAATTGACAACTTTCGATCTTTTGTTGCCTACATTTTTTGTAACTTATCTTTTTTTTTTAATATCATTAAATAGATTTATATACCTTTCTTAAATTATTAAACTTTTAATTTTTTGAGGTTTTTTAAGTTTAAATCTAAACCTTTATAGTTGATGATAAAATATTTTATAATAAATTTTTTAGATCCAATGAAGATACCAGTGGTTCTAAGGATATTCAAGCAGTAAGTTGCCAATTTTAAATAGTCACACACATTCATAGAAATGAGACAAATTTATCTTTTTTTAAATAACTAATTTGTTATACTATTATTATTTATGTATTTATACACACATGTATATGTGTTAAGTTTTTTTTATATAGAATTTTTTTTTTTCAAATTTTAAGTTGCACACCCTTCTATTTGGTGAGGTGAAAGAAATAAAGGATATATTTAAAATTTATTTGCAAATTTATAATCGGATTGGTCCCTCAAATCCTATTGTGGAACTCTAAATTGACCATGATTTGTTTAAAACCCCAATTTTGAACTTTTATGTTTCATACAATTTCATACATCTAAAAAGTAATAATATAATGTATTGTTGCAACATAGTTCACAGAGAAGGGAAATGAAAATATAGGTTTACCTCTCCCCATTATTTACCAAAATCTTTTTTAATTGCCTACTTTGATTTCATTATTAACTATCGGTGGGCCAAGTCAGTTGCCTACAAGTGGTGCTGCCCTATGCTTAGTGTTTTATGAGATGATAGTCATAAAGTCTACTATTTCAATATAATGCAATACAGTTGCAGAAGAAGTTATTCTGGCTTAAAGCTATTATTCCAACTATAGCAAAGCCACATTAAAAAAAACTCATTAAAAAAATATTAGAAAAACTATTACATGTAAAATATTTGATTTTAAAAGATACTGATAAGGAGGGAAAATACAATTTTGAAAACTTTTTTAAAAGATACTGATAAGGAGGAAAATTTTTCAAAACATTGAGCTGAAAAATTATGACTTGTCATAATCAAAAAAAAAAGAGTTTTAAAAACGCTTTAAAAGTTGCCTTATAGTTTGTTTAGTAGAAAAAAAAATCAGAAAACAAATATTTAAACTTTTTCCAAAAGTTTTAAATTGTGAAGGATGGGATCAGAATGTAGTAGTACAAAAATTAACTGTTAATGACAATGTGTTTTCTCAAGATATTATTTCTTATGTATTACATCATTTTGAAATACCTTTAAAATGTGCTGGGGTAAATGCATTAGATATCTGTGCTGGGGTAAATGCATATGATAAGTCAATGTTATTCTTTGTTAGAGTATGCTCGAGATTATCTTTCTATACTGACATTGACATATTTGTGCACATACAGAAAAAAATTCGCAATGTAAGAACTGAAAGAATGTATTAATAATAATTAAAAACATTTCACCATCCCAGTGTGCAACGCTAAGCCAAAAATAATGTTTTCTTTGTTGAAATTAGTTAAAACTCACTTGAGATGCTCCTTGTCTACTCAAACATTAGAACATTTATTAGGAATAGACTGTTCCATCTGTATAAAAGTATAACATGCCTGTAATTTAAAAAAGGGACTTTTAAATTACAGGCATGTTATACTTTTAACCAACAAATGTTGTCGTCCAACACAAAAATGCCACAAAGATTATAAAAAAGATATAGCAAAAAAAGGTAAGATAAGTTTGTTAAGCGATGAAAGTAGTGAAGATGAACAACATAATGAAACTAACCTTTGGGAAAGTGTTTCTGAGCTAGAAAATTTATTTTCAGATTATGAAATCTGATAGTCAAGGCAAAAAATATTTTTTTAAGTTGTTAATAAACTTCAAGTTGTAGATTAAATCACCTCAATTACGTCTTTCATTTAGTAAGATGAGATGAAGATGTAATTATCTGGCTTTGCTGGTTAATGCTCTAAGAAGTGGAATTTCTTTGGTGGCACAGTTTTGAATTTTTTCAAGTTTTTTAATGTTGTGTGCAGAAAGAATTTCATACAGGAGCAGCATACTTAAGATGAGGTATGACAAGTGATGTATATAGTCTCTTCCAAAATTGTGCTTTTTTATAGATAAAAGCTTTCTTTAGTTGACTAAGGACAAGGTCAGCTTTTTCTAATATTTTCTAATATTATTTTGACATGCATGTCCCATTTAATGTTGTGTAAAATGCAATTGCCAAGCTTTCTTTTGTTGTAAGTGGAATTAAGAAGTTGCATCCCTTGTGGAGTCATGATATACTACTGGTTATTGTGACATTTCGAAGCCACATTAAGAGCACAAAGGTTTTTTTTTGTTTGGTTCTTGAATTTTTTTGCGCTTAAAAGCAAATCGGTATCTTTCAATCAATTAGCTTCAATTGCAATTTTGTTAGTGGCTTGATTCACCAACATGCAACTCTTAAAGTTAGGAAGAGCTATCTGTTAACTCTCAAAGATTTATCAATGTTAACCCAGCTAAAATCATTAATTAAAGATGATGGTGCTAATCTAGCACATATCTTCCATGCTTGGATTCTAATATTTTTTCTATGGATTTCTAATGGATTCTAATTCATTTTTTTTCGGATTGGTCTTGTGTGTACCTTGTTGTGTGTATCTTTTTGTATGTACCTTGTTGTGTGTACCTTTTTGGGACCAATCCTTGTTGGGATTAATAATCCTTAAAGCTTTCTTTTGTATACATTTGAATTGCATAATTTTTTTTTTTTTTCGATTTACTGTTTCCCTAAATTCAACACCATAAATTAAATGGCTTTTTAATATAAAAGCTTTTTTTACATCAAGTAAAATGACTACAACAATTTTATTTTCATTTCTTTAGTCTGTTATCATATTGAGAATTTTTAAATTAGTATGTATTAAATTGCATCTATTTTTAAAGTCAAATTGATTAATCGGAATAATTCTATTATCAACAATATTTTTCTTAACTTGATATATAACAGCTTTTTCAAATATTTTTGATAATTTAGGAGGGTAAGGTTGTTTAGTCTTAGCTCAAGTAAAGTATCTGTTAAGTGATCTATAAACAAGTTAGCTTTTTCCTGTTCCAATTTAATCAAATATGAATTTTATCAATTTTTATTAAATAAACACCCTTAGTAGATCTATAAAGTGTATTGTTTAGAACAAAATAGTTTAAAGCAACAATTTTCTTTTCAGACAACAGCTGCTACTCTGTTAAGGGGAAAGCCTTTACAGTGTAGCCTAAAGAAATTATTTTTTTAGATATGGGTAGTTTTATTATAAACTTTATAAACTAAAAGATTCTTTAAATCATTTCTTTTTCTAATAACCTTACAGACTAAATCCGTTATAAGCTTTTTTAAATTAAGATATTCTCTGGGCATTTATTGGCTTTTAGGTAAAAATCACTGATCTACTCACGACCTTTTTTTCTGGTGAATGCAATGTCTTATTCAATCTGAATTTTGTTAATAAATTTTTTGTATCTTAGTTCAAAGCTATCATTTGTGAAGTAATTGTCTATATTTGATTTTATTCTGTTAAAAGATTCTCTGTTTACTTTCCTAAATTTCTGCTGTATTATTTTCCTATCAAAGTATTTATATATTGTGAATAAAACAATTTGATGATCAGTTATACCGTAATCATGAATTTTATGAACATTAGATTGACTCCTACTAATCAAAATATTATTAAGACATGTACTAGACACTAATCTAGTTTGGCCATTAGTTATATTGATACTCTACCAACGTATTAACGTAATCCAGAGAGGTTACTGAATTAAGAAAGTCAATATTCCACAAAATGATGTGTTGGTCCTCGTGTTTTTTATAAATAATTTTTTCAATTTATTTCAGTTTCTCTTTCTCGTTGCCACCTCCATCTACTATTTCCTCGTATCTCAATTCTCATAGGTTCTAACAATTATACACTATGGCTGATGATGTGTGTATATATATATATATATATATATATATATATATATATATATATATATATATATATATATATATATATATATATATATATATAAATTAGTAGAAAATCACTTAGCAAAATTTTTTTTCTCATTTAACACTGTGTTTCATCAATAAAGACTCATCAGGACTCATCAGGAAGGTATGCAAAAATGTTTTAGAACTTGAAGGTCAGCATACTTTGCACAGCTAATTAGCTGTCTCTCATTGTACAAACTGAGTCTGTATTGTGACATAGTAGGGAATTCTTATATTTGTAAAATGGTTTTGTTCAGAAAAAATTAGAAAAATGTTCAGCTCAATCTTAAGAACTTCAAAAAGTTTCTTATGAAACAAATGAATTTATTGGTAGTGTTATTTACTTAAATTGTTTCTTGCTCATTAAAGTGTATAAAATGAATAACAGTCAAATTCTTATTTTGCAGCACGAATCACAAAAATTCTGCAAATGTGGTTATTTTGACTACATTTTATCATCATTTGATAAAATGTAGTCAAAATAATGCTCCAGCATGCTTGCTACATTGTCTGCTCCTTTTTTACTTTAAGTTTCATCATATTAGTAGGTGAGCACTACTTGATCTTAAGCAGTGTATTAAATGTGTACCTAGACAGCTGTCTATGATAAAAAAATATCATTTGTAGAAACATTAGAACAACTCATTTTTTTAGCAAAGTTAAATGCAATAGCTACACAGTTTTTGCATTACAACGTGGTTCTTTCTTTCTGGAATAAAACACCTTTGCTTTTTGCAAGTAAAGCCCTTTTTTTGATGACTCTTGATGAATTGTAAATACAGCATTTTAGTGTCATGTAATATTGTATAATGTTTTTGTCTCGTTTTGACTTTTTTTGTCCTTTAAAAGACTTAATATGATGAATAGTACTATTTACAATATGATTTGAAAAGGCAAAAGGTTGGTTTGTATGTTTTCCTTGCTGGTTTTTAGGAGAAATTCCTAAAAAGTAAATGTTTTATAATGTTTTATTAACTAAACTAAACCAAAATATTTTCAACCGCAATCAAAATCTTTTTTTTTTTTTTTTGAAATTTTGTTAAAACACATTTGTGCATTATGTATTTTTATTTGACTGGCTATTTAGTAAATAATTAATAAAAAATGTTTACTTAACAGTCTTAGCACAAGATCATCTTATTCTTTCTATTCTTGATTTTGCAATTCCAAAAATTGATAAAATAACATTGATGCAAACTCTTACAGTATTATTATCTTGTGTCACTTTGATATTTGAGAATGAGTGATCATGAAGAAATCTTTTTTCTTCTTTTTTCAATGTCTTCTCCGTCTAACATCTAAAACCTCAATCATTCAGGCAAGAAAGTTGTCTTGTTGATTCTAAAACCTCAATCATTGAAGCAAGAAAGTTGT